ATCTCTTTGTTATTTTACTACATAATCGAGGTAGGTATAAAAAAATATTTAACTTTTCAAAAGTATTTTTATTCACATTAATTATTTAGGAAAATTAATTATAATTAATTATAAGGAGAAATTACTTTCGATGTTTTGTTGTTAATCTTGAAAACATTTTTTTAATAATATTAATCACAGAAAATTTGTTTTGTTTTTTTGACTGTATTAATTTATTTATGTTTACCTGATTACAGAAAAACTGAGTATTGTCCCACTCCGTCACAGACATAGACTCAAAAATCATAAAATTAGATTACGAATATTTAATACCATGATACTATCTTATCACCAGAAAAATAAATAAAATTTATAACTCATCGGCTAAACATCTCTGAGGATGTTTCGTAATTTTGCTACTCTGAAGTAATTGCGTTGAAAAATGAAGTAGAGGACTTTCAATGTCTTATATATGTTGGTTTGTTGGTAAAGGGGAGGGAACAATCATCCCAATCGCCCTCTCTTTCTGGATTCAAATTTGCATATAGGTACTTACTCTATTTTAAGTGACTGTCAAAATACATTTAATATCATTTTACATATAGGTATATTTTTTACTCTTCAGCATAGATTACCCAAACGATATTTAATATATGAAATATTATAAGTTAGTAGTAAGATTATGTTGTTACCTTCAGTATAATGTATATACAAAAACTGTCTATTAAAAAAAAAAGTTTGGGCTGATATTTGTCGGGATATTTGAGTATTAATATAATTATTTTATTACAGCAGCCGTTAAATGCATTAAGGAGAAAAAAAAGTTTGAAAATAGATGGTATTGAATACTAAAGTTTTTTAAAAGCACATGCATCAGGAAATTTTGGTCTGTATACAACACATACACATTTTTTGGTGTTATGAATTGTTTCTTTTTCTGTCGTTCTTCATAACTTCATCGTTGAAATCACATGTTCATTTCCCTCATTGCTAAATCATTCTCTCGTAGATAGGATGGCCTGTCGCGATATCCCTATGGAAATTACTACATATATTTAAATTTTTTTTTTTCATTTTTTGTTTTAGTATAGTAGAATAAAATTTGGTCAAATATTTAATTAAATTTCATTTTTTTAACCAACTGGGTAAAATTACTTTTGAAATTTTCATTTCCATAAAATTACATGTCATTCTTTGGAATAAAATTTTTAAAGTATTGCATTTGAAAATCGAATAATTGGTATTAAAGTTTTAACAAGTGTAAGTTGTTAATAGGAAGTTTTAACTGTATATTTGGTAGTTTTTGTAATAAAATTGTATACAATTTATATCTATGGTTGTATTAAACGTTATATGCTATTAATAAATAACGACTCTATTGTAAATTTCGTTGGAAAGTTAATTTAATTTCCATAACAACTTTTTATTTTTATTTTTTTATTGAAAGACATTTACAAATTGTATAATACATAACAATAATATGATAAAAATTAATATAATTGTCTTGAGTAAGAACCCATACATTAGCAACACCCTCATAATTCCTTAACAACTTGTGCCAAAGAATTGCATATTTTGTAGAAATGAATATATGAAAAGTTATTTATTCCAGACGGTTAAGGGATGAAAATACAGATTTAACTATAAGTGAAATTTGACTAAGTGTAACTCTTGAAACTGTATACAAAGCAGTGGAGAGAGAAACCCGGGCCCGGGTGGTATATCTTAATTTTTTCTGTAGTGTTCATTAAATTTTTATCATTAATTGTGTTTAATTTTTAATAATTTTTAGTCCCTTATTTCCGGGCCCTCTCAAATATTCAGGGCCCGGGGGGATCATCGCGTTTCCACCTCTTCTCGTCAGGCTTGGTTGTACCTATAATACCAAAGCAAAAAAATTAATATCTACGAAGATATTTCCATTGTGATATGGCTGTGGACTATCCTGTATTATATATATTTATACTTGGGCACTCACACGAACCTGTTCAGTGGGGCTCATTATATTTTCGAAGAAATAAACAACAATAACAATAACAATATATAAATGTATTTACGTATATAAATGCATAGTTGACTGAATGCTATTTACATCGAGCACGGTCTGATGTATACCTGTATTTCCGGACGTTCCGGTGTTCGAAATCGCGCGCATGGGTGTGGCTTATCGAACGCGGAGAGGGCGTGTAGAAAAATGGTGTTTCCGGCCTATCGCTAAGCGGGTAAGACCGCTGCCGAGTCGGGGAGGTGTGTGTAGGCGTGAGGGTTGAGGGGCGGCACTACCCCGCGCGGAGGAAAATCGCCGAAAACCGTTTACCGCAGTCGCTGTGATGCTTACGACCCGCACGCACTGATACACCGTAACGTAACGTCTCGTTCGATACACATGCACGCCGCCAAACACTGTTTCTTAACGGGTCGAACGGTTTTTTTTCCCGACGTGTACGTATCGATAAAACCATAACGGCGACAAGGGTACACGCACTCACACACACATCAAGCACGTATTTTGGTATCGCAGTCCGCATGTCCATCGCGACGTGATCGGCGTGCGACCGCGGCCGGAAATAGATGTGGCAACTGTCGGCTTGCGATCGTCATGATCTCAGGAGGCATTTGCAGATGGCCACCGCCCTCAATCGGGCCAAGCCTTTCGGTCATTCGGCTCAATTTTTCTACAACGGTTTGTACCGACAAAAGTCAACTGCGATTACACTGTTTTGCAGTCATTGCGATATATCATTCACGTATCGGTAGTTTCGAATAGGGCTCGAGTAAAAAATTAGAAGAGAAAAAAAATGATAGTTTTCTTGTAACGACATAGTTTTAAATTTTCACATGTAATGCGTGTGTTGAATATGTATCTAATTGCATTTTAATACAGTTGTTTCATAACTGCGACGTGTATAAGTAGTATTTTGAAAAAACAACAACTCGATAATAACAATTATGAATTTTTAGTTACAATTACAAAGGTACCTTTTACGTAAAAGGACCAATTTTATTCTTAATAATACTGCTTTCGCTGAAAATAGCTTAAAATTCAAAATCATCCTATCCGAGAGTTGAAAAATATTACAAAATTATATAAATTTGACGATAACCATATTAACTAATGTTATAAGAATTGTGTAAATATTTTCTAAGAAGTATATGGTTAATTTTTTATTTGTCAATCGAGAAAGGATTAAGAGTGAGAATGATAATAATCACTGGGACTTTAAATGTCCATTCTAAATCTTAATCCTTCACCGCTATGGTAAGTAATATGGTATACTGAACGTTTGTACAATTTTATTCACTTTTTCTAGTAAGATTTTTGTGTTGTCTAATGAATTAAAGATATTTGTACCTTAATTTTAACTCCACTAATTTAACAATTAATTTTGTAGATTTATTAGCATTGTTCTTGAGTATTTTGTCCCATTGTAAAAGTCAATTAGAATTCTATGTTTAATATGTACTGTTTGATAAGATACAGAATTTCATTGGAGTATTACACCTGTAGGACTGAATTAATATTATATTTACAATGATAAATTTTCGGCTTTCCTAGGATAATATTTTTAAAATATTATTACGGAAGTAAATATAATTTTGTTAACAAAACCAGGTAATATAATTGAATTTAAATAAGTAAATTTAAAAACATTAATTTGATTATTATTTTATACCGTCCCTTCATGCTTATAAGAATCTTAAAGATTATCGTTATACCTATTAATTCCGTAGGCCACTAGACATAGATTTTATGATTATATATTTATATTATAATAGTTAAAATATAAATTATTTCAAATTTAAGCTGTCAACGATTGCAATGGCAATCTCTTAGTTAATAACCAGTAACATTTTGTTATATTCGAAATTAATACTAATTTAGATAATAAAAATTAAAAAAAAAAAAACTCATTAATATTAATTCAATATAGGTTTGACTCGAATTGTACTAAAATAGTTTTCATAGAATTCTACATACTTTTTCAGTTTTTAAAAGTTGGATCTAAACCATTATTTTTGATATACAAATAAAATATAAGCACACTAGAGATTTTTTTTTGTATACTTACCTAATATATATATTTAATAAATAAACATGTATAATATGAATACATTTAATCATTAAAAGTTTTAAGAACTAGTGAAATTAATATAAGAAAAAACATTTATTACACGTTAAGATTTAAAGACAATTATTTTCAAATTAGATGTAAGCACCAGCTAGAAAAATGTTAAGAGTTGATCGATTTTATTTTATGTTATCAATTGATTTTTTATATGTTTCTAACGTTCAGGTCAGTGTCGATATTATAAAGATAAATTTAAGTTGAACTTATAGAAATAATATCAGAATCTTGTATATTACAAATTACTGATATAAAATAAATATAGTAACTGCTATTATGGAAATAATGTATAGTTTATAATTCTGTAGTTATTATTATATTTAGTTTAATTTAATTTAAGTTCAATAGTTTAATTTATTACCAGATGAATATTTAAAGTTATTTTATTCAAAATTTAAGACATCATATTCGAAAGAATTTGTTAATATATGTGTATTCGGTGGTTATCTTATTTAATCGAGTTTCAAACTTCATGCTGATAAATTATTTTCATTTATCTTTTTCCATATACGTATGTTTTTAATATTTTTATCTTTTAAATAATTACTTCACAAGCGCAATAAAGTACAATGTATAAATTATACTTATATAAATTCAATTACGTTTTTTTTTAATTTAGACGCTCCCTAAAGATCAACCCTCTAAAATGAAAAGACCTATGTTCAGATTTTGCTAATAAGGATTACCCGCTAGGGTTTGGGAGTACTCCCTGTGGCGTTGTTTATACATGTGTAGAATATATTTGTGTATATTATTAAAAGTACTATATTTAGATGTATATCTTATTCAATAAAACTCTTCGACAAAAACATTGTATGTACAACAAACTTTCTTTATAATAAAATAAATCCAGATTTATGTATTTTAAAAATTTTTGTTGATATTTATTCACAGATCCGTATGAAGTGGTCAACGCGGCCAGCAGCAGGCTTGTAGCTCAAGCAGCCGCTGGATCAGGTCAAATACAACTATGGCAGTTTCTGTTGGAGCTACTAGCCGACTCTAATAATGTCGGGTGTATTTGCTGGGACGGTCCTGGAGGTGAATTCAAGCTAATTGACCCAGATGAGGTGGCCAGACGTTGGGGCGAACGTAAATCTAAGCCTAATATGAACTATGATAAGCTCAGTAGAGCTCTCAGGTATTCATATATCTATATTACTCGTTATAATATTTTTTTTACATAATGTGAATTAGTATTCAATATGACGTAGGGAGGTATAAATATTTTACTTTAAAAATGTTAGAATTATAATGTTGAAATAGTTGAATTATAATTTTTGTTTGTAAAGGTATCCTTTCCACCCACCAATACTTTATAGATTTCGTTACGTTATAGGTTTATATTTTCATAAAATAATCTCTTGATGTAATTTTAAGAATCGAGTCTTCAATAATAATTTGTGTCCTACGGTTTTTTGTTTTTTTGAGTTGCATTAGAGAGGGAAGGGCAGACATAAATGCCAATTGTATTTGATTGTTTCTAAACATTTACTAAACTTTTACTTTTACTCTGCTCTATAAATAATATTTACCTCACATTTAGTGTATATTAACAATTAAATAATCAATTGAAAGCAATGGTATTTTCAGTGAATTAAATATTGTAGTTTTTTTATTCTTGGATAGCTTAACGATATTCTATATTTATAAGCTGTAACAATATTACGTACGTGGGTTTATTTTCACTAAAGTTACATGCATGCAACTTTTTGTAGGTATAATTAATAATTTATGCAAGCCGCGTGTAATTAATTAATACTGATATTCTCGTAATTGTGTACTTATATCTTTAAGCAAACATTGTGCACTTATAAGGTTCCTGTATAGGTATACCAATTAAGATTGTGATTCTTTTGAAACGGCGAACACTCGCAAACGGTTTTTAAATGCACTTCCCATGGGCCACGGTAAACTAAATTTCTACCACGAGTGGTATCACGTGGCTTTTCATATTGCTGCGACAATAATAATATAATTAGCAATAGTCTTTGAATGGCTTGAATACATTTGCCCACGTATACGGTTTCTCTTACAACATAATATTCCTATTTAACGAACCACCATCGATAGTTAAAGATATGAATTAGACTGCACACAAATGCATATTGTAACCCTGGAAACTTGTCCGTATATTTCACAATCATTTTACGATCATTTATCGTACGTAGTCAAACGACAAACAACGAAAACATTAAGTTTTTAATTCTTCAAAGTTTTCAGAATTTCATCTTAATAATAAATAATTTTGCAAAATGTGAAAAATAACGAAATATGTATAAATAAATTATCGTGACCTATTAAAGTTTATATTAAAAATGTTAATCATTAAAAGGAACAAAGTGAATGATGAAATAAACACTATAATTTTTAATAAGTTATAACTGTTTTTTAAATTAACTAAAGTTAAAATCTAATACTTAATTATTGTTAACTAAAATTGGTTAATTTTATATTTTATATTCGTACTTTTGTATTTAATTTATTTAATCAACCGTATAAAATGTGTTAAAAAACTATTTATGTGAATCAGCTACAATTTCTCCTAAGTATGTATATATATACTTTATTATTTACTTTCAAAACGGTAGACAAAAGAGTATAATTTAAAAAATTAAACTATTTATCAATGTATAGATGTATTAATGTATTTTATGCTCGATATGTACGAATATGACAATAGTCTAAGCTTAAATTTAAGAAAATATAGCCATAAAATACGGTATTATGGAAAAATATAATAATACAAGTGTGTCGATAGATATGTGTGAAAATATTAGACAATTACCAACATTTTCAAAACATTACTACATGCCTAAGGAGTTTGTCAAATGATAGAAAACTTGAAATGTTTAGCACATTTTGTCATTTAAGCAATAATAGCTATTTCTTACGGGCTCTAAATAAATTATGATTATTTATCTACATACATTATGTTTTATGTAGTTTGTAGAAATATAAACCATAGTAGTATCTAGATTATACTTTAAAATAATTATGTGCAACGCATCGCATGCATAAAATAACCGTATCCGAAATATGTTCGACGCGACAATGGTATAACCGTTACATAAGAATTACGATAAGTACATCCACACATTATTTGATTGCTACGGTACTGATTATATGATACGTGAAGTGATATTAGTCTTGAAAATGTTTTTCTCACATTGGCCCCTCGCTCTCCACTCTCTCAGTACAGGTTAGGTTCCTACAATAACCACAATAAATTGTATAATGGCTGAGGGCGTATACATATAGTATACTAGCTATAGTTATATATAAAAAAAAATTTTCAAATATACAAGCACTTATTTACTTAAAAAACTCTAAAATAATCTTTTAAAATGTTTTTTTTTGAAATTGATATAAAACAATATTAATTATTTGAAAAAAATGTAACCTTTTCATTACCAATAAACGAATAACAGCTTTGTTAATACGATAGCAACACCACGACAGGGAAGGAGGTTGCTTCAAATGGTAGAATAACTTATTTAATTTTGATAAGTATTTCAAAAATAACATTTAAAAGTTGATGAACAAGAATTTTTTTACAAAAAACGTTAAAAAAAGCTCCAAAATGAAAAATATACTCGTATTTTCAAAAATATCTAAGTACACAAAATAATGAAACATATTATTATAGATTCGACTTTATCGTACAACATAAAACGTATTTTTTTCTTATCTATTCTTATAGGATGCTACACAAAACAAATGTATGTACATATATAATGACTTACGTAATAATAATTATATTGTGTCACAATAACATTGTGGTATATACTAGGGATGGGCAAAAAACATCGATGTTTAGGTTCGAAAAGTTCAAATTTTTTTTTGTTTGTATTATTTTAGTATGGAGTATACAAAAATCGTCATACAGTAGATATACACTATACAGTTATAATCGGGACTAGTAAGTTCATGCATTAAAAAACGCATAAATAAGCATGCAATAATGCACTAACATTTGATCAAATATCAAATATGCATTAAAAATCCTTAACTATGCACGAAAAAAAACGTTTAAGGATTTTTTAAAATAATAAGAATTGTCCATTTATATTTTTACTAGTTATTTTTTTTCTTCGGTTACATTAAATTATAATTAATGAACACACGTTGCGACGAAAATAGATAGATTGCAATGGCACGCCAATAAGAGGAGAGTAGTAGTGGTGCGCAATAACATTGTTTTCGTGGTACTGCTTTTAACTTAAAAAATTTAATGTCATTAAAAAATAAAAATATTGATGAAATACTAAGATTTTATAAACAAGTTCGGAAAAGTAAATAAGAATGAATTTAAACATTTATTAATCTAATTTTTTTTTTGACTTCTACAAAAAACGATTTCGCTGAATTTACATAAAACAATATGCCCTAATAACTCAAAAAAAATTAACTATATGCCAAATATGCCAATAATACGCACATAACATGCAAAAACATGCTTTATTAAACTATATTTTTATTACCGTTATGAAACGGATTTTGATCTCAATTAACATATTTTCCGATGTAGCAAAGAAAACATGCAAATGCATGAACTTACGAGGCCTGATTATAAGTATTTAATATGTTTTTAAAAAATATAAGTTAAACAATAGTATTTTAACTCTTAAATTTATTATTTAATCAAGAAAATAGTACACTGTATAGATAATAAGGTGTGCAACAGATGGCAGCTCTAGAGGGAAAACATTTTTTTTTTAAGTTTTTAATCTTCTATGTTCTTAAACGTCGATAGTTTTTCACCGATACATCGAACACATTGATATTTTAAAAATCAGTGTATCGATACATCGAATATCGATGTTCAAACAATTTTGCCCATCCCTAGGGTATACTATTATTGTAATTGTGTGCAGGTACTACTACGACAAGAACATCATGACGAAGGTGCATGGCAAACGGTATGCGTACAAGTTCGACTTCCACGGGCTGATGACCGCGTGCCACCAAAACCAACCGCAGATACCGCCGCAGCCACCGACGCCATCGTCCGTGGCCGGCCCGCCGTTGCCGTCTACGTCCGAGTTCGGCGGCTTATATGGCCAGCAACACGCGTCCTCGTCACCCGTGGCAGGCACGTCATCAGCCGCGCTGTTTCCGACCACCCCGTCCTACTGGTCCACGTCCGGGCTGCCCGCCCTGTATCAGCATCCGGCCGCCGGTCCACGGTACCCGCCATGACACTGCACTACGTAATGCGTTGCCCCCATCCCGTGCCCGTCACAGTGTGTTCATCGTCGTCCGAGTGATCCGTTCCGGAACGACATTACCGACAGCGACAACAACCACAACAATAACAACAACAACAACAATAACGACGACAACAATAACAGTCCACTGCGATATCCGTACAGTAATATGTCTCCCTCCGTGTATGGTATTACATTGTTTTCGTTTTAGTTCAATAGAAATTGCAGCAGGTCACGTTAAACACTCGTAAATCATATTTACATTTTCATTATTTAATCGGCTATTGCAAAGAAAAATGTCTATGAAATTACAAAACATAGCCATTCATTGGTATGTACATCTATAGGAAAGTTTGAACCGTACTAAATCTACTATCGCAGCAAGAACGACGATTATTGAAAAGAATATCTAATTTATACTAATTTACAAATTAGCCAATACATTTTATGGATACGAGTACTCTTCCTATAAACTAATATAATATGGATCATTATGAAATCGTTTATTCGATTTTCAATCGCGATACTTATTATATACTATACTTAATGTGATACGACATATTGTACCAAAGAATGGTGGTTTTATTACATTTTTATAGAAATTAGAATCTCAAAAGTTACTTTCCCTAGCTGGTCAAGGGGGATGGAAAAATAGATTTCGCTGTAAGTGTTTCTTTTTACTCAACAGTATTAAAACCAAAAAAATTCTATGGCTATGATTTATTTACGCTTGGTAATGGGTTATCTTAATGACGGTGTCACCTAGAAATAGAACTAATAACTATTTAGGTTCCTTGAGGTATACTTTTCAAATATTTACTTATGTTTTTTTTTTTTTTTTTTAATGGATTGCATTTCATCAATTACATCGATAAAAATAACAATATGCTGTCTTAAAATACATGATTTAATACGCAAAAAGTAATCTACTGTTAAAATATTTAAAATTAACCCAATTTTAAAATGTCTTAAATAAATACTGTAATTATAAAGTCATATTTTTTACATTAAAATTGTTTTTAACTATTTAAGAATTTAAAAATTTAAGTGAACTTAAGACATTTCTTTTATTTCCTTAGAATATTTAATTCCGAATTTATTTTTTTTACGATCCCTAGATACTCTGTAATTATTATGGATAATGAAAAAAATTTATATATATCACAAAAAAAAATATTTTATAATATTATTATTAATGAATCTTCTGAATTTTCGTTTCATTGCCCAAAACCGAAAGTTTAAAAATATTAAATTCTTTCTGCGGAGTAGAATAATAGGTTCACATACCTATAAGAAAAGTGATCATCCGTAGAGGTACATTTTTCTTAATCTATTACTTGGTGACTACCATATGCATCAATAAAACCAACATACAGGTGTATGTAGGTTTTTTGGTTATAAGATAATATGCTGAAACATGGACGAAATATTTTGGCTTATAATTTCTAGATGAATCAAAATATCTTTTACCTTATCATTATCGTTCATAATATTATTTATTTGTTGTTAAATTATTTTTAAAAAATTGGTCTTTTAATCTTACTATTAAAAAAGTTAGATGAATCGCTATAAATATCTTCGCTGTACTTCTTTCTTATCAAAATTAAATAAATGTGTATTGAACTATTAAAGGGGATCAAAATACTATCTACAATGGACCAATATTAAATGACAGACAAAATACAAATAATTGGTTATATTAATGTTATAACCTAACCGAACAAAAAAGTTGAGTCATTTATTCATATAAGAATTAATAAATTTAGAATAAAATTAATCTTTAAGGCAGTTAAAGGTATGCAGCTATAACAAATCGTGCATATTTCTTGTTTGTATACATGAAACATAATGTATTTTGTTTGGCGTTACAACTGGTAGACAGTATAGGACTTGATTTATAATAAATTCTCTCCCGGTTGATCATTTAATACACCAAAGAAAATATTTTAACATAGAATATTGTAATTATTATTAAGTATAATAATCGTTAATTTTCATAGGAATAAGTGCGATGAACACTTTTCCACTCATATATGTGTTAACGATTAATGAATACCATATGCAGTCGATATGTAATTATAAGATCTATCCTATACTATACGTAAGTTCCTTTAACGTAAAATAGTATGTACAAAATAATAGTGTGTAAATATATCAATATTTTTGTTTTATTTTCAATTTTAGCCTTTATGCGTTTTATACTTATTTATTATACCATTATTCTTAACCGTATATATAAGTTTGCAAAATGTATAACGCTAAACACAAAGGGCTATACAATGTTATGTCAGTGAAACACTATAAAAGCTCCATTAAAAGGGCGAGTGTTGTCTTGCATTTTGATCAACGTACAACATATCATAGCAAATCTGCATTCAGTATTCTACCATGTCATACGATCGAAATAATGTAAAATATTAATTTAAAATTAAGACTAATGTTATCCATAATTCGGTTGTTTCCGATGCAACACACATATGTACATTATTGATTAATTTATAGCAATTAATAAACAACTGAAATATAAGGGTAATCACCTTTTAAGTAATCTAGAATTATTTATAAGAGGGGGTTAAGGGCTCAATTTTGTTCAAAAGTCATACATTTAATTATCTTAATAATAATATTAATGTATCGGTTGTGAATTTGTTGTCGTCAATTACTTAAAAACATCAGTAGCGTGCCTGGGATTTTGATTTAGGGGTGGTTTCAAGAAGTAGGAGGGACAAATTTCTATAGGACTCTAATAAACAAAACAATAATGGCATTATGAAATGATAGGTCTTAGGCACTTATAAACTGCTAATGCGAGACACTACACAAGTAAAATAACAACGTTGTGAAAATAGATGATATTAAACTATCAAATAATATAAATATTATTAATAGAACAATTTTTTTGGTCAAACAGGGAGATTTTAACCCCTATCTTCCCCCTGGGCTTATCAATGATAGACACTACGGATTTTAAAAAAAATGTTTGCAACCATCTTCTTTCTTTTCGTTCCTGTTTCCTTTTTTTTAATTATTGTATGATTAATTCATAAAATAAAAGCAGCGGCTGCATCTGAATTGGTTCCCATACCTGAAAATTGACATCCGAATTGGTTCCCGACATTCCAGGCAACACACATCCGAATTGGTTCCCAATAAATACTTTCGAAAAAGGCGAAATCCAATCTAATTATATTTATTATTTAATATTATTATTTTACTAACATTTTGAAATTTCCCATCTTTATAAGTACCAAGGTGGATTGATAAGTACGAATTTCGGAATGGATAAGATGAAATAAATTGTCATTTAGATAAAAACCGTGATAAAACGGGCGTTATATTATCGATATTGACGGATATCTAGTCGTACTTATGAATCAGTACGGCATTCAGTAATCCGCCGTAATAACCGCAGAGTGTTTGTATTAGTGATTGCATTTGTGTTCAAATCTTTTCGAATATGGAATTTCTGTACAGCGAAAAAAATAAAAAACTTATTGTATTTGAAGGTTATAAATTTGGGTTTCAAAAAAAGTTGGCAGACGACATTGACCGTTGGACATGAGGAAAAAGAGCATGTAAGTCGTATTTGAAAACAAATAATTTAAATACAATTGTTGATAAAAATATAATACATAACCATAAAAAAGACGACGAAAAAAAACTTAACAGACAGAAATTAAGCAATATTTCAAAACGAAAAGCTCAAGATGCATTACATGAGCAGCCAGCAAAAATTATTCGCTGTGAATTGGCTAAATCCGATATTGAAACCATAGATGCTCAAGATGTACGTAGAATTAGAAAAAATATACATACTAGTCGATGTAGTACAGTACCCAAGTTGCCCAAAACATTGAGCGAGATTCATAATATCTTAAATAATTATAATTTAATAACTAATCGTGGAGAAAATTTTTTATTTATTAACAGTGCTGAAACCAATATTATTGGTTTTTCATGTGATAGCGATTTGGAAGTATTGCGTCAAATAAAATCTGTGTTTATTGACGGTACTTTTAAAAGCTGCCCAAAGCTTTTTTGCCAACTTTTTTCAATTCACGGTGTAAAAAATAATTACTATATTCCTCTAGTTTTCTTTTTACTTCCAAATGAAACGAGTGATACGTATACAAAAGCTTTCCGTTTAATTCAAAATTATTTAAGCCCGAATGAAATATATATGGTTTTTGAAAGAGCCATTCGTGTAGCGATCTCCGAAGTATGGCCTTTAGCCCAATTAAAAGGTTGTCGGTTTCACTTGGGTCAATCATAGTGGAGGAAGATACAACAATTAGGGCTTTCAAATTAATTTAAAAATAATGATTCCGAAATAGGACAAACATTAAAAAAAACCCCCCACATGCGAAGGATGTGGGACCCCCTCACTATCAAACATATACTAACGGAATACCAACTATATCAACAGGAACGAATAAACCTCAATATTACAGAAACACTTGATTCACTACTCGGTCCGGATCCCGATCAAAACAGGAAAATACTTAATTTTTTAAAATCAACTAATTTAATAGACCAAATATAATGTAAATGTAAATGTAAATACAATTATGTAACAAAGTATCACAAAAAAAAAAAACTGTAACTAATGGCCTAAGATGCCGGGTTGTAATAAATAGATCAATAAAAAAAAAAAAAAAAAAAAACATTAAAATTGTTTTTTGGCTTATCTTTTTTATCACCCGAAGAAGTTAACGATTGCTTTACTAATGAATTGATGTCATTAAAACTTAAAATTAATGGAAAACTTGAAGAATTCTTTGATTACATATTAGAAAATTATAGCTTATTTCCACCATCAATGTGGGCTGAATATACCAGTAGTATAGAACGAACAACTAATTGTTGTGAATCATTTCACAGCAAGTTCAACAGTTGCTTTTATTCCGCAAATCCAAATATTTTCCAATTCATGAACGTATTAAAAGAAATTCAAATTGAAACTTATGTAAAATTACGAAGTACTGATAAAAAACAAAATGTTAAATCTAAAAATAAAAAAACGTATATCAAAACAGAAATAGAGAGATATAACAATAATGAAATAAATCGATTAGAGTTTATAAAAAATGTTTGTTATAAATTTTTACCTTAATAATACAAAAAATAATAAGAATAATACTTAAAAATAAATTGACGAATTAATATTATGTTTATTATATTATTATAAGAATATCATTATACAAATTAAAGTGAAAAAAAATCAATTTTATATATACATACAGTCCTAAGTCTGTATAAAATAGGAAAGAAAAAAGAAAATATTTTGACCCGGGAACCAATTCGGACGTTTCGGAACCAATTCGGACACTCCGAAAGCAGCATGTATCTCATAATTATATACATAAGATTTATTTTTTCACGAGAGTACGTACATTTACCGGGAACAGCATACTCACATCGAACACATGAGTGCTTTGGAGTTAATCAATTCCGCTAATTCATTGTCGCCCGGAGGGTGGACAAGAGGGGGAATTTCCCCCCCCCCTGCAATTCAATAGAATGTTGAATATTTTAACTTTTATTTTGATTTATCAACATTTTATCGATATTTTTACTTTAGTGTGTGCCGTATGGTGTTGTTGATCGTAATAACAATATACTCGTATTATAAGGCGTACCTACAAAATAATACGTATTACATTAATCGCGCAAAATTAAATACGTTTCAATTCTGTGAATTTATATTAATCGCCTAGTGTGTAAACCACTTATGACGATCGACGCACCACGCACACATAGCTTCAGTTTTTATTTAACTAATTTTTTAGGTTGTAAGGAATATATTTTTTAATGTTCTTTTTGGTGTTGGATTTCATATAATTCTAACACAATTTGTAGTTTACAAGGAATAAACTTTTTTTAATGTATTTTTTTTTGTGTTTGATTTCATTATGCCCCCCTGATAAATTTCCTGCGGGCACCCATGTT